TGTTTGAATATTTATGTCAACTTGCTTACTGAATCCCTTGTCTTGTTTTTTTTTTTTTAATCTCACAGGATTTGAAAGCATTGTGGAAGGCTTGTTTGGGCCAGGAATAGTCAAGGATATTACTCTTTTCCAAGGTAAACTCACAAACATCTGATGTGTCAAGCAGTTTAACATTTACAGTTATTTACCATAATCCATTAGGTCATACAGCAAACCAAGATGACTAGAAGCAGTTGTTGACCAGAAACACAAAGTTGCACCAATAAACAAATCAATATAGAAAGAAAATTGTTCCCTCACTAGGGGGTGCACGATAACTATTAGCCAGATAATTATTGGCCCGATATCAGGAAATTATGATGTCAAACTTATCGGTCCGATATCAACCAGAACCGATAATACGTTTGCCAGCGCTGCGGTGAGTGTGCTTGTTCACTCTTGCCAAAGACCAAGGCTATTATCGCCTTGTTKGCCACGGTTTACTATGCTGAGCAGCCGTGTGTTTCTATCAAATTCGTGGGGACTACATAGCTGAGGACAATGGGAAAAAGTTATGAGGAACGTGTTGCTACTTTCGGGAAAGTTGTAATTATTCTGTCATATCAGGACAGATATGCCGCAGGTTTCACCCAGACTTTCTTGTTAGGCTGGTCCGWCTCTACGTCCTCTCGGTCACCAACACAGTGTTGTCCATGTCTGAGTCTGGTTCACATAGTGAGTCAGTCGATACCAAGTCGATGCACCCTACGTCAGGTTTATCATCATCATTGTTTTTCTTTTCCATGTTTTCCAACAAACGATGAACTTTCTCCATCTCCTCTGCGGTCAGAGAGTCGGAGTTGTTCTATTTTTTCTTGGGTTTTAGCTGATTTTTACCTTTTTCAGACCGTTCCCCTTTCAGTGAGGGAGGGGTCAAGTCTCATTACGTTGAGTTACATTCTGACTTCTGACGTAAAAGGTAACACCTCCAAGGGTGTAACCAGGAAGGGATGTACATTATAAGGTCAATTCATTATTATAGTAGAAAGAAGTTGTCAGTGTTGTGGAGGGTCTGCTCAGAGCAGAGTTCCTGTGTTTGTTTTGATTCAGCTCAAGGTTTTACGCTGAGGCCTGTGCTGCTGAGTGCACTGTGAACCTGACTGGAGTCAGAACAGTGAAAATAAAGCTTTAAAGAAGAAATCCAGCTGATTCCTGTTTATTCGGACATACCATTTTGAACAACGCATATTTTTCCTACGATTTGGTGACCACCGACGTGATGGATGATTTTGAATAAACAGAAAAGTGGAATTTATTTTTGGCTGTTGAAGAACCTGAGAAGATTTTGAAACATTAACTGCTGAGAGTGAGTACAGAAA